CTTACTGAACACTGCAGTGGCAGTTAGGCCACAGAACTGGTATCACTGAACCTGGAAATTACAAAGAGTGAGGGATGCTCACAGCCATTAGCGTTCAGAGAGATGCAAATCAAAAATAGAAGCATTATCCCTCCATCAGCATGGCAACCGACCAACCCAGAAAATGACAAATATTGATGAGGGTAGGGGGAAATTCGGACCCTTAGCCTCTGCTGCTGAGAATCACGTGGTCCAGCTGCCGTGGAAAAGCGTGGTGGCTCCTCAACCAACTGAACACATACTCCCACCTGGCCCAGCCATCCCACGCCTATGTAGAGACATCCCCCGACCCCCTACACACACCTCAAAGTGGAGACTCAAAACAAGGCCTGTCGACCTTTGTTCACTGCAGCTATTCACAACAAGGTGAAAGCCGCTTCAATGCCATCGACGGATGAATGGCCAATCAAACTGTGGTGCAGCCGAGTCCTGCGATGGCGGTGAACGAAGTGGTACACCTCCGGAAAGTCGAGTGAGCAAAGATGGATCAGTCAGCGGGACAGAGACACCCACACCACCAACAGAAGAGCAGCTGTGGACGCCGCTTCTGCACAACGGGTTTGATTCCCTGGTTTGGAGGTTTCGGGCCAGGGTTTCATGGGACGTCTCAGTTAATTGGCCGAATTATGTGTCTAATGCTAGTCCTAGTCTGTTGCAAAGCGCCTGGGGTCTTGCAGGCTTCCATGCAGCCACCCAGGGCACACTGGTCTCTACTGGCACGGATGAAGAGAGGAAGGAGAATCAGGAACAGGAGCCTACAGAATGCGTCACTAATTGCCTCTATGAACAACTGCCCGCTTTGCCACGGGACACGTGCTGGAGTAACTAGTGGGGACAGGCTACCATGACTGACCAAAGATTCTCTAGAAGACTCCTGACCAAAAGGGGGTAAGGGGAATGTAAAACAGAATTTCACATCCTCACAGACTCTAGAGTTGCAGAAGCCATGGAGGTAGAGGAACCGTAAACCAAAAATAAGTCCTGAAGTCATCTTAAAACTCAACCAGAGCTTCACCTAACTATTAAAATAAGGCTTCCCTGGGCGCGATGGCACTTTCTCTAGCATACACCCACAGAAATAACGTGCACAGGAAACTAACACAGGAGGGGTTGTACAGTTTGCAAAAACAACATGCTCTTTGCATGAAAACACGGAATGCTCGGATCACGTGGACAAGAACAATGCAGAAGGCTACTGGGAACGGTGGTGGGCAGGGAGTTTTTGTTAGTGAGGAAAGGAGGTGGGAATGGGGGCACCACCAGAGGAACAGAATCAAGGTCACAACTGTACACGCAGACACGGCTGAAGTGGTGCATGCTGTGCTGTGTGCCCTCTTAATAACAGCAAGATATGTAAAATTCTTTTAAAGAGAGAGAGTTAAGGAATAATGCAGAAAGCCCAGGGTGACTCGCTATCTTCCTTGGTAGCTTGGACAAATGTTCATTTCATGTAGCGAGCACTGGCTGTGCATGTACAGAATGTCAGGCCCCGTGCTCGGTCCTAAGAATATGATGAACAAGAGCGATTATGGTCCCCACAGACAGAGGGTAAACAGATACATGAAATACTGACAAGTCACAAAGCTGCACGGGGGAGGGGCTCCTTCCCACCCCGTGGTGACAGCCAGCCTCTCTGAGGAGAACACTAAGCTGAGACCAGGAGAGAGCAGCAGATGTGGAGGGAGGGGCACTCGCGAGTGGGGAGGAGGCAGATCACGCACTCTTGCCATGGTTGAGAATGGAGAATGTGGCATGAGCACGTACATATCCTTGCAGAGAGAGAAAACAATAGGGTCTCTGACCATCCCCTCTGTACCAGGTGCCCTGCGAGCCACACTCACAGGCCACACCAAATGCCCACAGAGGTAATTTCTCAAAGTGCACCAATTGAGATGTGTGTGTGTGTGTGTGTGTCTATGTGAGTGTGTGAGAAACATCACAGAATACTAGCGAGGAAGCAGACAGGGCGTCAGTCAGTGCGTCCACAGTCAGAGAAGAGGGAGAAGACTGGCTTCACGGCCCTGTCTCTCCCTCCCCTCCCGGTGCCCTGCTCAGGAATCTAACTTGCCACGAACCCTGGCCTCCCTTGGTTTCCTGGCGCCGCCCCACTGTGCACCTGCTCCTCCCAAGATTGGAGATGGAAAACACCTATCTCATCGGCCCGGCTTGACTCAGGTGCCTCTGGCTGAATCAACTTCCTCCTGGCTTCCCTCTGCCCTGGCCAGTAGCACCATGTTGGACCCTGTCTCCCTCGCACGTCCACCCATATGCCAGGCCAGGGGCTGGCCTGGTGCCTAGCACAGAGCAGACACTGGTCAACATTGGCCAAATGACTGAGTTCTTGCCAGTGAATCTCGGCCAGTGGCAAGCCACGGGGCCCTCGCACTGTGCCCAGGAAGTCTGAAGTTCACAGGCAATGACATTCATCGAAATGCCCGAGAAGCAAGTGCTCCGTTCAAGTCAAAACCCTATTTGCTCATCAGTTCCCTGGGGGCGGAAGACCCTGGGTTTCAGACAGGTGGGGTGAGAAGGTAAACTGGCTTTATTTAGACTGCACGAAGGGGAGGTGGGGACGGAAGGCTGGTTTGTCCTAAGTCACTTTACACCTGGTGAGGCAGCTTCATCTGTCAGGAAGCAGCCTTAAGTGCTGGCAGCAAACACCGCTCATAAATGCATCCCCCCGCCCCCGCCCCCGCCCCCACGCTCTGAGCAACGCTGAGGCTGCTGAGCACTAATGGCCTTGGAGCGCTTGCCAGTGCCCAGCAAAATGGCCTTGGCATCCAGGAGACAGACGTTTGGCGGGAATGGCAGGGGCACTGGCGCTGGGGGCACACCGAGGCCCCGAGAATGCTGAGAGCGGCACTGCGATACCTCTCTCTCCATCAGTGCTAATCAATCTCACACCCTCTTCAATAATCTTGCGGGAAGCAGGCCAAGCTTCCCAACGGCGACTTGTGAGCTGTCCCCGACGCCAGCAGCGACCCGGTCCCGCTCTCCAACTAGAGTCCACCCAGCTGCGCCACAAACAAAGCGTTGGATGATGCCAACAAGGTGTCGTTTAGAGGGGCGCCTTCTGGGAGCATGCGCTCGGGGAGAGGTCTCCTTAAAAGTGACACAAGAGTTCCAGTGGAAGCCAGAATGATCTAGCAGCAGCGGCAGCTTCTGCTTGCTGAGCAAGACCTTGCACACACATCATATTTAGTCTCCATTAACCTTCCCAACATGGGATGGGCTCCTGGTGCCATTTCACAGACGAGAAAACCAAGGCTTAGGAAGGTTACCCCACCTGTCCGAGGTCCGGCGGAGCCGGAACTCAAACCCAGGGCTAGCTGGGCCCTCCCCTCACGCACAGCTGCTCTTTTCCACCAGGCTGCTCCTTCCTTCTCTAGAAGCCAAGTCCACCCCCCAACGACCTCTCATTCCATCTGCTCGACTGTCCCCAATGGCAGATGTACCAGAGGCTGTTCGGCTGAACCTAAGGGAAGAAATGAAGCTGAGGGGCCCCTGGAGCTCAGTCACTGAAAGTATTACCATTTGTAGCGATGACACCGAGGTGACTTGAGGCCAAGTGCCAAGCCTTGGCTAGGCAGTGGTTTCGTGGTGACGCCCACACTAAAATCCATCTGACCCCTGGCTCGTGTCGGATGCCCTCCTAGCCTTCAAATCTTCAGCAGACAACACTGGAGTGTGTGTGTATGTGGGCAGGGGAGGGGGGGGGGGGGTGAGAGATGGGGCGCCAATCAGTTCTAATGAGTTTTCCCTGACAAAAGTAGAGGGACATTTTAATTTGTTTCTAATTATCATTCAGACAAAGAGAAAGAATAAATTACTCTGGCACTCGGACAGTCATTAAGTGTCCATCACACCCACGCTGCTGTAGAGGGGAGAAACGATGGAGAAGGGACATCTACTCAAAGAACAAAGCAAAGAAGGCCGGGCGTGTGGAATGAAAGGAGTGGTTCGTACAGAAGTCCGGCCCCAGGATTCACAGCCTCTGCCTGTATCTGCTAGCAAAATCACTGCAGGAAGAAGGAAGTCCCAGGCAGCCAATCGAATCAATCGACAAGCACCCGAGGACTTCCGAGGCTGAGGGATCGGAGGAGAACCACAAGGACCAGCGGCACGGTTGTCCCAAGTGGGAACGAGGGCACACAGTTACCTGTGCGTCAGTGTCCGTAATGGAAGGCATATTTTGAGCGAGGGGGTTGGTGATGGTGGTGGCGGAGGGTGAGAAGAGGCACAGGACACAGACACCTGAGTCACTCTCTCCCACAAATGCCAGTCTCTCGCCCTGGCTGGAGGCAGCCCTTGGGGCACATGCTACTGTGACTCCCAAGGCACAGGGTTCCGCCCATAGCTGGTGGCCTGGGCACATGAAAAGGAGGGCCCTTCGTTCTGAGCCAGGGGGCAAGTTTTGCTGCAGCATCTGAGCCCCCCATAAATAAGGGAACCTCTCAGTTCCCTCCTTCCTTTGAGTGCTCCCCTTTGGGGAGTCCTTTGTCAGACCGACATCGATCCCACACAGCTTCCTGCCAAAGGGAAGCTACGGCTCTTGCATGCCGTCACCTGCTGTGCTCTGGCACAGGCGAGCAGAGGCCTGCCCTGTGGGGAGAGATGCACCTGGGGCCCAGCGGAGTGCAAGAGCAGTGGGCAAAAGGGCAGCAAGAGACGACTTCCAGAAGCCACCTCTAGACAAACAAGAACACCAGGAAGAGAGTGCTTCGTCGACCCGCCAATGCACGAGGCCAACAGGGCAACATTTGGTCCAAACCCAAGATAAGGAGTCCAGGAGCGGGAGAGTGCTGACAGGGAGGGGACTGCAAGCCAGGCCATAGGACAAGGGGTGTGTGAACTATGGACCGGAAAACGGACTTGCCACCCAAGTGCTTACCTGAAGCACCATCAGAGGCTAAAAAAACAAACAAAAGCAACAAAACATGCAGCGAGGCAGAGATACATACGTGTTTTTCCCCTTCGATCTTCTTGTCAGCCACCTGCATTGCATCCAGGTACTTAAAATGCAACTCCATCAGCCTGTCAACCTGAAAGAAGAGGGAGTGGAAGGGAACGGTGGCACCTCTCTTCGTCGCTCCTTGCAACGGGAGGCCCCGAGCGCACTCTGACCAACGGGCAGCTTTGCTCAGGGACCTCGCAGGAGCGGCTCGAAGAGCTGGGCCAGCACCAAGCAGCCACTCAGGAGGACGGAGGAGGCGTCTGCACGCCGGCTCAGTCCCCAAAGCCATCCGAGCACCCTGTCCTCTGAGGCCCCCTGGGGACTCCAGTTGTTAAAAACAAAAATAAATAAACAAAAAACTCAAGTCCCTTCTCCCCAGCGACAAGGAGCGTGAAGCTATATACTTCACAGTCACTTCAGAACGCTGCCGACATTCCTTTTCTCACACTGAAACCTTTCATGGTCAGAATCTGCCTCAGAGCAGACTAGTTTATTTTTTTAAAGTCTGAGTGAAATCTCTTTGGTTGCTTTTAAGTCAGAAGAGAGTACATGAAAATTCGTTCAGCAAAAAAAAAAAAGAAGAGGAAAAACTCAACCAATGCAACAACAAGAGTATCTACCGACGTTCGCTCAGCAATAACTCAAAAATCAGTTTTAAACTTGGCAACAGCTGTGCTTCGACATAGTGGGGGAGCACTCTGTGGCCCGGAGAGTTTCTCATTTCCCCACGACTTCTAAGAGACTGAAGAAGCAGCGTGAAGCCAGCCCAGATTTCTGACCTATCTTTTTTTATTAGGCTGGCACCAGTGTGGCTCTTGGCAATGCTGATATTTACCCAGGAGCTGATACTGGTTAATAACTGATGCTGCTTCCACAAAACAGCAGCAGGCAGTCCAGGAAGAATATGCCCAAATGCTCTCTAAAAATGGCGACTGTAAACCTTATCTATGTTTCAATTTCCAAAGTATTTCCACATCCATTATTGCCTTAACCCTAAAACAACCCACCTCAAACAATGATTAAACAATCCTGAACTATTGCCCTCAAACCAAAACTATTCCCTGAACCCTTAAAACCCACCCCTGCTGTTCTTGTTGGGTGCGTGGAGTCCGAGCTGACTCCCAGTAGGCTGTGTAAGACAGAAGGAGAAGCTCCTGGGTAATCCCCACAATTGCTGCTCCCCTTGAGGCTGGTGTTACAGCCACGGCCCAGGTCCAGCTCACTGAGGACCTTCCTCTTTTCCACTGATCCAAATCTGAGTTATATCTACCCACGGACAAATCAATAGGACCCCAAATAAGAGGCATCTACGACTACCAAGCCATAGCAGTCACTCAGTAAATGGTAGCGCTTCGTACCCTTAAAGCCTTGCGGCTTAGCATGCTAGACAATAGCAACTCCCCATGTAGTCATCATTCCCAGCGGACTTGGTCCCAGCTGTCTAGGACTGGCTTTACCATTTTAGGACCAGCATTTTTATTTTCACCACCACCACCACCACCACCACCCAGCAAGATCTCCATTAGACCCTCATCTCACTGACTCCTCAAACCCAAACCCACAGCCATGGAATTCAATCACCCAAGCCCCAAACCAAATGCACTGCCGTCGAGTCAATTCGGACTCACAGGCGACCTACGGAGCAGGGCTGGACTGCCCTCGGTGGGTCTGAGGCTGTGACTCTGCACAGGCACAGGAAGCCTCGCCTGAAGAGGGGCTGTGGTTTTCAAACTGGTTGGTTAGCAGCCCAACGAGTAACCCCCTACGAGCTCAGGGAAAGTGAGGCTGAGAGTAGCACGTACCCCGAACGGAAGAGCCACACAATCCACTGCTACCTGTTCAATGATGTCTGTGGGTAAGGTACAATTGATAGTGCTCTTTCTATTGTACTATACGTATGCCGAAATACTATCTGCAATAAGGCTGCTGCCTTACATTTACATTTTCTGTTGCTACATGTAAAGTGAAAAAAGGGAGCTTTTAATCCTGTCTTATGTATGTTAAATTTCCGCTTCATTTGTACCATGAAATAAAAATGTATTCTGTAATGACAAAAAGCAAGTAGCAAGACAGGTTCAAGTCCCGCTGTCTGAATCCCAGGGTTATGCTCCTCACTGAAGTTTTGTTTGCTGGGTGCCATTTTCTCCCCTGACAGAGTTAGACTAGGTCACCCCCACCTGAAGGTGATAGTGAGACCACTTGAAGGCACTAGCCCTCCCAGGGGAACGTATTTTGAGAGGAGAGGGAGAATACTTGAGGGACACAAAGCAATGGGCCCAGATGATGGAGGAGAAATTGGAGGGCAGGGCACGCCTCCAGCACCCTTCAAACTACATCAGGTGAGAAGCACCCTCGGTCCCCGCCGGCCCCGGTCCTGTTCTTACAGCCAGACAAGCACTCACCTTTTCGCTGTCGTTTTCGGTGAATTTATTCAGCAGCCGGGTCCGCTGCTGCCCTCTCAGGTTCCGCAGGAGGGAGGCCAGGATTGAACAGACATGCTCTGGGTTGGGAAGGAGAAGTGAGGGCATGGTGAGATCAGAGCAGTAATTATTACCTTTCTTCAAGCCAAGGCGGCTTCTCTCGAGGAGGAGTAAGTGGGCCTTCTCTGAGTGCTGTTATTGATTAATCAGACAAGAATGCAGATCGTGTCATTGGGAACTGAACTGATCTGCACACGCTGCACCAGACACATATTCAAAAGGGCCGATTTCCTCAAGGACAACTTGAGCGAGTGAATTGAAACTAAGTTAGAATTTCTATTTTTCCCAGAATTAATTGACTTGTGTATGTGTGTGTGTGTTTCTACGGTGGAATCTCAAACAAATCCCCCATTTATAGAAATAACCTCTGAACAGAATATAACTATCAGCCATGGGATGGGCAAATAATGAACAAATAAGACTTGTGCTGCCAGATCCTCAAACTACTTTGTAACTTCCCCAGGCAAATACCCTAGAATTCCACCAGAGCCATGGCAGGGGCCCAGTGCTACCACTTACATTCGGGGGAGCCAACACCCCCACTGCATGTTTAAAGGCATAACAGCAGCGCTGTCTGGGCTCACAACTGTCTCAGGGCCTTTATTATGAAGTGCTATTCCCTTACCTGGGAAGAAGAAGGTAATTGAAGGGTCTGTTATAGGCTTCAGTTTTAAAGAGATTCTTTTCTTAAGGAATAATGACCTTGAAATGGAGGTGGCAGAAGTCTATTTATAGAGACATGGCAGAGTAAAGTTTATTTTGAAATAACTTGCTTTAAGAGCAAGGCAGCAAACAGTCCTTTTGAAAATTGTTTGAAAAACATCTTCACATATATACCTATTGTCTCAGCTATCTCGTGCTGCTGTAACAGAAATGCCATCGTGGATAGAGTTCGTACACAGAAATGGATCTTCTCAGAGATTAAGAAGCTAGGAGCCCAAATTCAGAGTGCTGGCTCCGGGGCCAGGCCCGCTCTCCCTGTCAGCTGGGGGAAGGTCTCTGCTTGGTGGCTCCTTGCCTATCTTCAAGTGGTGTGGCCTCTAGCTCCCCTCTCTGCCTGCTCGCTGGCCTTTCCCATTTCTTTTCTATCTCAAAAGAGACGGACTCATGACACACTCTCCACTGACCCTGCCTCGGTAACACAACAAAGAATCCAACTCCCACAGGGAATTATAACCATAGGCACAGACGCTAGGATCTACAACGCAGATTTGGGGGGGCATACTGGTTAGGATTTGCAACAAAGATTTTTTTGGGGGGGCAAAATACCCACCCTAATTCCCACTTATATAAAAATATATATAAATCCCCAAAGTCAGGTGACTATTAAGGAAAGCCATAATCAATACCCCTTTTCTACTGTGAACTCAGATACAGTTTTGAACGCTTGTTTAATTGTTTTTCCCACTTGTATCTCCCACCTCTTCATTTTCTAGAGCTCTTAATGCTGGAGTGATTCAGTTCTAGAACTTTCCACTCTCCCGATGATCTCACCCAGCCCCATGGCTGTGTTGTTGTCTCCCTGGCTCTCCCTACTCGGTTGTCTGATAGGCACTTTAAACTAAATACTCCCCCAAGCCACTATCGTTCTCTTCTTCCCCAAATCTACCAGTGGCCACGAGGTTCTAGTAAGCAGATATGTATGATTCCTGTCCTCAGCGGCTTGGCTACCAACTGATATCCAGAGTCCAATCTCTATAGACTACTACCTCCACTGCCAGCCAGTACTCTGGTTCAGACCACCATCATCTCTTGCTGGGGGGAAAAAAAGCCAGCTTACTGTGGGCCTTATCTTTGCCCCTTTGATCTCCATACAGCAGCCAGAATGATCCTTGACATTAAAACCTAAAGTCAAACCCTACCATTCCTCTGCTGATAACCTCCCACTAGGTCCCCTGGGGCCAAACCAAACTAAACGTACTGTCATCCAGTGGATTTGAACTCAGTGACCCTACAGACCAGGGTTGAACTGTCCTTGAGGGTTTCTGAGATTGTAACTCTTTATAGGGGTAGGGGTAGAAAGCCTAGTCTTTTGCCAAAGGAGTGGCTGGTAGTACCACCTCTTAACTCACTGCCATCCAATCAATGCTGACTCACAGTGAGCCCCTGTGGGTTTCTGAGACTGTAACTGTTTGTAGTAGAAAACCTACTAGTCTTTCTCCAGAGTAGCTGTTGGTGGTTTTCAACTGCCGACCACACGGATTACAGCCCAATACCACTACACTGCATGACCAGTGTACCAGCAGTGCTCCTAGCTCAGGTCAACTAAATGTCTAGTCTGTCATGCTCCCTCCTCAGGTCTTCTGTTACCTGCTGTTCCCTCTTATCATCCGTTACCTGCATGGCTCACTCTTTCAGCCCACCTTGGTTCCTCATGCGCTCTTTCTCTTGGACTACCCACTTAAAATGCAATGCTCCAACACTGCCTACACCTGGTCAAAGAACAACTTTTTCTTGTGCATTAGGTGAGGGTTTACAGAGCATGTCATCAGTTTTACATTCAACAATTGATACACATTTGTTTCTATTCGTCCATTCAATCCTCTCCACGTACCACCCTTGAGCCCACTTCTCCATGTTATCCTCCTCCTTTCCGAACCCTCTGTTCTTGGGTAAGTGCTGCCTTTGGGGTCTGAAATAGTGGATTATGCCTACTCCCTCTTATCTGGCTTGTTTTTCTCTTTAGCATGGATCCCTCCCTGAAACACGTTTCCATTTGCGTATTTATTTTGTTCCCTGTCTCCCTTTAATTAGAACACAAGCTCCGCATAGGCAGGGATTTCAGTCTGTCTTAGTTCACTGCTATCCCTGTTGATCAAAGAAGATACCTGTCAGGTGACAGACAGGAGGAAAGCATGTTCTTAACCGACCTTCAGTGGCGGCGGCAGTGGTGAGCCAAGCTAACCACGCGCTATCTCAGGACATCTTTCAAGTGTCATCTGACACACTCACCCTTTTGTACATAGTGGTGACCCCAAGTTGTTTCAAGTGTCAGAAGTGCAGAGTTTTTCCTAGAATGACTGTAGAAAGAGGTGTTTTATTTGAATGTAGCCCATGCCTTCTCAAGACCCAGGCTCACAGCTCATGCCTTTTGTTCAACTTGGGATTTGGCGCTCTACTTTCCAGAGTGGACTAACGCAGGGGGGCATGGAACAGGGGTGAGGTGACAGTGAACAGTAGGGAATGGAGAGTAGGCAGTAAAGCCAAAAACACGAGGAGGCCAACCTAATGAGAGTGAAGCAGGATAGCTACACTCCAGGTAGTTCAAAAAAGAAAACAAAAAAGAAAGTAGTACAAAAAAAAAAAAAGGAGTATCTTTGAAAACACATGCCAGAGAAAGTGCTCTGACCTTTGTGCGTGTCAAGCAGGTTAGACGAGAGAAAGGAAGGGTGGAGCTACAGTAAAGTTCTGCAGTCTTGGGCTGGGCACGGTGCTCTAGCGCTCAGCTCTCCGGTGATGAGCAGATGTGGGACAGGCCATAATAAGCAGAGTGAATTCTCACAATCTCCATCTTCAGACTTTGACAGCTGGTAACAACGTCTAGGTGTGTGTGTGTGTGTGTGAACCATAAAGGAAGAAAACAAATAAAAAAAAACCCCCACGTCTTGTCAATCATCCAATTTGCTCACTGTATGGATGGAGAAGCTGAGCCCGAGACAAGCGGCTTAGCCACACAGCTAAATGATGGGCGGCACAGAACTCAAGCTTCAGATCCCTCGCTCTTGAGCCCACTCATTCCCTGCGCAGGTGTCTCTGCCTGGGCGCTGCTGCTGGCTGGGCACAAGGCAGGATCCTAACCTTAAGGAGCTACGTCTCTCGCAGGGAAAACAGGACAACTGTAAATATAGTGTGGTGTGGAAAGTTCAAGACTGAAAACCAAAGGGATCGCTGACAACTAGGCAAGAAGCGGAAAGAGGGTTCTGGGCAGAAAGAATATCCTAGGCAAGGGCCGGCTTGTAAGGAGTTGCTTGTCTCCGTGGGGCAGGGGCGGGCGGTCAGGTAGGCAAAGGCAAGGTTGTCAGAAGAAAGTTACAGGACCCACTCATGAGTTTCAAGATAGGGAGAGATAAGGTCAGATCCCAGTTGAAACCAATCTCCCGGGCAGTTCTCTTCCTTGTAGAGATCAAGATCAGGAAAACACTTCTCTTTCCTAAGGATGACTTTAGGCTTTCCTAGTAGGACTCCCTTTTTGCTTTGGCTATTAGGAAGCTCCAAAATGTTTATGCTTGACTTCTGGGAGAAATCCTTTTTATTACTCTATTGTGGGTTTCCCTGCCTCCTATCAAAGTAAAAGCAATGATGGGGCAGACAGTAAAAAAAATCAAGCTGTGCTACAAAGTATACAATGTGCTCCATAATATTTATTGATCGTTTGTAATACATTTCTTTCCCTGTACTTCTATTACACAAATCCTCTCTTTCAACCACACCTACCTATTTTTTGGTTGTTGTTATACATTTTGGGGGCCAGAAAGAAGGAGATACACACAGCTACTAGTAAAATATTTAAGGATCAGCATACTTTATTAAAAAAAATAAGCAAGACACTCAAATTCACTGCCATTGAGTTGATTCTGATGTACAGCAGCCCTAAAGGGCAGAACAGAACTGCCTCTGTGGGTGTCTACAGGCTGGAAAGCTTTAGGGGGAGCAGAAAGCCTCACCTTTTTTCTGTGGAGAGGCTAGTGGGTTTGAACCGCTGACCTTGTGGTCAGCAGCCCAATTTGTAACCTAATCTACTACCCCAGCTCCTTTTTAAAAAGAATAGCTATCTAGAACTCTATTGTACGTATTTACCAAAGTTTGGCTAGTGCCCTATGTAGGATGCTTTCAGCTTCTTCTCTTTGTTTGCCATTAGAAACTATGGCAGCCACGAACAAACATGTGCACATATTCTGGTACATTATTGTGTACTTTTTCTAACATTACATTCCCAGTAGTGGAACTGCTGGGTCCAAAGGTATTTACATATAACATGTGGACAGGAAGAGCAAACTGTCCCCTAACAAGCTTGTGTCGA